CCTTTGCTGTTTCATACTTCGCCAACTGTGTACCTATAGAATGCTTAACAGAATTGTTGATCCAAGTAATGATCTTTGCATTGTTTGCTTCCTATGCATCTATGAAAGCAGTATCTCCTTCTTCAGTATTCTTAGGTACCACATAAGTTCCACTGACATATCCCCACATCTTCTTACCCTTAAGAAAATTTCTCATTACAAAGCTCCAATATGAATAGTTCTTCCTATCCAACCTCACACTCACAGACTAAAGTGAATCATCTCTTTTAGTAGTCATAATCAACAATCATAAAAAACTAGAATGCAAAAGCAGTGGAAAACCAAATATCAAATTGCAGAAACTGAACAAAAATTCAGAAACTAAACAAATATCTTCTCAAAACTATACAATTACTCTAAAACACAAAACAAATTTGCAGAAACTGAATGCAAATACCTAATTGCAAAAGCTGAAGGGAAGATGAAATACCAAAATAATTGCAGAAACTGACGAAATACCAATTTTTTTTTTTGCAAAAGCGGAAGACAAAATCTCACTTCAAAAAATTTTCGAGGCTCTGCCCCGAAACCCCGGCAGGGGTGTGCTGCCCCCTACAAACCCCCAGCCAACTCACTGTAGAGTTGAATCCGCGAATCTGTATTCAGGATTAAGCTTCGTTTCATAAAATCAGCTCTGATACCATGTTAAAATAATTAAAATAAAAAACAAAAGGGAGGCTACAATTCTGAATAATCTATTAATTATTAGTGCTTAGCCTTAACCTAAATACATATAAAGTATATCTAGATTAAACTAAAAATATTATTCTACCCTTAATAAATAAAATTACATAAATATTATTTAAGGCTATGTACTCTTCACCACCATTACCAACAATTACTGTCCAAGGCAAGCAAATCCCACTTCTTTTCTCTCAGAACACTCGTTTTTTATTCAAGAACTACTCATTTTCCAGCATTTCAACAACTTTCAGCAATGCCCTTTCGCTAAAACCATCAAATTCAACCCTTAAAACATCAGAAACTGAGTCCCAGACATCAAAACCTGCAGAGAGTGATGAAAGTGAAGGAGAAGGAAAAGAAAAGTATGGAGAATTTGAGGTAGAAATAGAGCAATCTTATGGGCTGACGTTTGCAATGGGTAGAGATGGTGCTACTTACATTGATGCTAGTGCTCCTGGTGGATAAAGTAATTGCTACCAGGTTCTATTTTCTTTCTTTTCTTCTTCTTTAAATTAAATTAATAAGTGTAAGAACTTGAGCTTGAGCTACAATTGGTGGATACAAATTTGCTTTATATATACATAATTGAAATTAGTATTGAATACTTTTGAAACCCTTTTTCTAATCTCAAAAAAGTTTTACTACAATTGATTGACGAGAAGTTAGGTTGATTTTGGAGTTCTAAACCTTGTGCAGTGCTGTGTTTGGGACATAGATTTAGCCAGCTTCTGAATATGGAAGGACCATGTACACCATTCGCCAAAGAATTGGGCCATTACTCATGAAAATGCTAAAAGAGATACGGTAATCAGTTCATTATCATTCCTTCCTTGATGAACACACACTCGCTCTTAAAAAACTCCCATTAATGAAAACTTACACATAGTGATATACAAGGAATGTGTTTCATTACTTATAAATGTCAAAGTTTGTTCTTTATTGTCTGCACTTTTCAGGGACTATGAATTATACTGGTGAAATGACGGATAAAGGACATTATCAGAGCTGAGAGGAACTTTGGTGTCATTAGTAACAGAGTGAGAGAAGTCCAAGTGAGTAACTAGAAATCCAAAAAAAAACCTCTTTGTATCTGTATATTGGGAAAATTTTAGTGCAAACAACATAGCATCTCTTACTTGTAATCAGTTTTTCAGATACAAAATTACTTAAGAAAAAACGAGGAGAAAGAACAAAGAGAAAAAGGATCTTCGTGAAGGGCTGAAATTATACGAGTAATTGCTGGAAATTCAACTTGTTCTTCTCATTTCTCAAGTTTCATTTCATATTTGAAATAGCCAGGTCTCTAGCATGGACGAACTGATTTCAATAGCTGCATAGATTTATTAGAGAAAATCAGATGACCTTTTAAGTGCTAGTAATATACTTAACTGCAAGTCGTAACAAATTCTACTCTCTAATAGTTTTCCTTAATTTATTTTGTTTTTCCTTGGTTAATTGATGAAGAAATGCCAAATATGAGGAAGCACTGTAGAAGTTCGAGTCTGTATTGGGATCAAAACCAGACCTCACTGAAGCTTCAGTGGCAAGTTACTATGTTGCTTGTTGTTATTTGAAGCTTAATCAGGTAATCTCTTTGTTATCTTGAAACAGTGTCCTTTTCTCTTGGTTTTTCATCCTTTTTTGGTATCACTGCATCATTTACTTCCTCAACTTTTAACAGTTACAAGCTGGGCTATCTGCACTTGAAGATGCATTGGAAGCAGTATCTGAAGACTTAAAGGTAATCAACCAAAATCTCAGAAATCACTATGGTGGCTTTAAACAGCATATGATTTATTATAAAGGACAGGCTATCTGAAGTTTTTGGAAATGTTAACAGAGAATCCGGGCAGATCCTGACCTGGAAAATTCAAGGGAATTCGAACCTCTTATGAAAAGGTTTGATGAATCTTTTATCAACGAGAATGCCTTCAACGCCATTAAATCTCTATTTGAATTCAACAAGAAATAGTCACGAATTTCCTTCAAGGATTCAAAACTTAAAGATGGTAATTGTACGTGAACTTATATGAACCCAGGACTGGCCAAACCACCTAATGGTTATGAAACTCTGTTTCATGCTTATTTTTTCGTAGCTTTAGTTTATGATGAGTGTTGAAGACAATAATTCACCATGGGAGGTTCTTATCTAGATTCTTCTTTGGGTACACTGTTATGTAATCTTCCTAATAAGAAAATTGAAGTAAATAAATGATTAGTATTTAAAAGTGTATTTTTATCAAGGTTTTATATTATTATTTTATATTTTAAGTATCAATAACTCCTTAACTAAATCATGTTTTATAATAATAAGTTTGATACTATAAAATATATTTAATTTATGGTAAATGTTCATATTAAATATAGGTCTATCACATAAATTAACAAATTGATTGATGAGTTTAACTATTGAAGTTGAGAAGACAAAGAGAGTGTTAAAGCTTAGAAAAGAAATGCTGGTTCAGTCTAAACTGGAACACTATTTAGTCATTGGGTCATATCTGGAGCTGCAAATCTTGGATTTCAATTTAGATTATATGTCTAGAAAGCTAAGACATAGGCTTAAAATATTCATGGGAATACAAGACTCAATTTTGCTGTTTGGAAGTCTAAATCTTAGCAACAACGAAGAAGTCGAAATTTGTCATGCATCCTAGGCACTGTTCAGTGTTCAACCCATATTTCAAGTTCTAGAAGTCTAAATAACTTTTTTTTTTATTATTGGAAAACTGATACAATTTTCTAAAACTTTCATGTAGACAACCTGTTCAAATTTTGATGTTAACAATGATATTTTTGACAAACAAGAAGATAAGAATTTTCATAAAGTTAAGAGTTGGTCATCCACTCAACAATTAGTCATCTAATCAAAATTTCTAAATTTTAGCCTATAAAAAGAGACATTTGTCATGCATTTAGGTGTCTTAGGTTTTAGATCAAGATCATGCTCGTTATTTCTTTCTTTATATTTTTGTAATGTTTAAATTTTATTTCATGTTATATTTTTCTTAATTTTTTACTTATGCTTTTCATTTCCTTTACTATACTTATGTTTTTATGTTATTTATTTATGTTTTTCTTTTTCATTATATTTAACTAAGTTTATTATGTCAAGGTGAAAAAGTTTCACTAATGATGTTAGAAGAAGTATAATATAAACTCAAATATGGACTTCTATGGCTATATCCCACATAACTTGCTATGTCTTATCATTTTTATTTTATTAATTCTTAATATTTTACTTGTTAAATGATTAATTTAGATTTATGTTATATAATACTTGATACAACAAATGCCGACACTTTCATAGTTCAACCGTATGGTATAACCTACACCTATGCTATGAAAGGAACTTGATTTGTTGTTAATATAAGTTAGTATCATGAATTCTTGACTATATTTAAAAGTTTGGTGTTACTTAAATAAAATAATTAATATGATCATATTAATAATTTATAATAAACTATTAATGACAAATCATTCGATTGGAACCTCCTTTATGTGAGGTTTTTAGTTGAGTAATAAAAAAAATTTATATTATATTTATTTGTAATAACATTAGTGGATCCTCTAACCTTGATATTTATTTTTATTATTGTTTAATCCTCATATTAATTTTACATCTCAAAGTCCTCTTATTATTATCATTATTATTATTCTTGTTATTCTTCTTGTTGTTATTATTATTATTAACCTTTACATGGTTCGATTCCGGTTTTGTCGGATTATTTATTACTTCAACATTTTTATATTTAAGAGAAAATATCAATCTTTTAATCATATCAATAAACAAGTAGAATAAATTCTTTCTAGGGAAATGGGAAACCACAATGAATCACATATAAACAAGTAGAATAAATTCTTTCTTTTAACCGGATGTGGCAGAATGAATTTACTGCAACCCTATCGAACCTCTAGACATGTAAATTACTGTACACAACACAAAACATCCCTCTTCATATTAGAAATAAAACGAGATAACATAAATTACAAGGGAAATGGGAAACCACAATGAATCACATCTTGATTAAGTTACATACTTGAATTGAAGAAATTATACACACAACATGACACTAGAATTGACAATGATATCAAACAATCCCTTGGATTAAGCCCCGTATAAAGTCTATCAGAATAAGCCATAACTCAATCCTACACAATCCCACAAGGCAAGTTTTCACAATCACACACATATGCACACTCAAACAAAAAAGATACGAAAATGAAAACAGGCAATCCTGCTTCGTTGAGCCTCAGAATTAGGATTCTCCAAGGAGATGGATTGTGAACTTGTTGAATCCGAGAAAGTAATATTGTTTAGCCGCCAAAATATTGGAAATATTGTACTTTTTGAAGTTTGCCTTGCAATGAAAGTGACATCTTAGGCCGGGGATTGGTGCGGCTGAATACGAATTGGAAGACCATTGGATGGTGCAGGCAAGGGATTATATGGAACTTTCTCATCAGGAATCAGTAAATCCCATTTGAATCTCTTCACGATGTTATGCAGGAACACAAGTATTTTTGGTCTTACATATTCATACCCTAAGCACATCCTTGGCCCCCCTCCAAATGGAACATGGGTGTATGGGGCTGGTCCTTCTCCTTCATACCTGGAAGGATCAAAGTCTTCTGCATTTGGGAAGTGAGCTGGGTCTTTAGTTGTTGTGTTAGGACTCCAGTATAGCTAGTGCACGCAGATCAAAATATCAGTTTTATGATCTAAATAATCAGAGCCAAACTTGGACAATTTGTTCAATTCCTGCATAAAACTCGTGATGGTGCCTACCTTCCATCCTTTTGGGATTGTATAACCCGCGTAGGTGAAATCAACTATTGCCTGTCTGAAAGTACCACTGATAGGCGGTATCATCCTCAGAACTTCAGAGACCACTCTCCATGAGTATTTCATTTTCTGAATGTCCTCCCATTTCAACAACTCTCCTGCTTCTTTAGACTTGGCAATATCAAGCTGCTCTGTTAACCACAGTCAATAAAAAAAACCCGAGTTATCGCAACCATGGTGTACACCTTGGTGCAAAAAGACCATATGCTACAAGACAGACAACTAACCTCTCAAAACCATTTCGTACACTTCTGGCATTTCTGCAAGATACTTCATTACACATGTCATGGCTGATGTGGTAGTCTCATGACTAACAAAGAGCAACATCAGCATGTTGTCAACAATCTCGGACTCGGATAGTAACTTTCCGCTTTCATCTGCAGTCACAAGCAAGTGTGACAGAAGATCTTTTCTGTGGGACTCCATTTTCTTGTTCAGAGCTGCTCTTCTTTGTCTAGCAACCAACCGAATCTCTTCCTTGAGTGCATCACCAGATTTGGAAGCACGGTAAAATGTTGTGCCAGGTATATAGATAGGAAAATGAATCACTCCTTTGAGAAAGATGTCAAAATGGTGTGCAAGCTTGGAAATGTGTATAGGATCATCAATGCTTGCAAATAGGCGACAAGACAACTCAAACGTGTATAAATTGGCAGTTGGATGGACTTTCACCTGCTCCTTGCCTTCATGGTCATAAGAATTAGTGTTATATATATAACCAGCATTATAATTTGGTTAAAGGTTAAAGGAATTCATTCATTCATTCATACGGGGTCATAACTAACAGAGAATTATTGGATTATATATAGGAGGTAGGAAATTCACACACACACACACACACTTTATGTTATCATCATATCTTTCCCCTGCATATTATCAGCAGCAAGTCATTTCTGCAATTAAATTGAACAGTAATAATTTATTGGGAAAACAGAGTTTATTAACCAAGATAAGAAAAACAAGCAGACGTTATACCTTCCCAGTGTGTCCTTATATGGTTTTGTGCGACCAAATCCATCCTGTCTATGTAGCTCTTGAGTGCATCCCGATCAACGGAGGTCATGAGTATCTTCCTCAGCCTCTTAGCCTTATCACCAACTACATTAGCCAAACTTAACCTCATCAGCTTCTTCACTGAGGTTGGCCACCAAACATTGACCAGCTTGTTCTCATTGCTAAACAAGAACTTGTTCCCAGCTGGTCCAACAAACACAGCCACTGTTTCTCCAAACAGTGAAGTCTTGAAAACCGGAGAATCATATTTCTTCATTCTATAATTTACAAATATCTCAGGTGGGAGATTTATGGGCAAAAACTGTAAAGTTTCACCAACCAGGGGCCATCCTAGACTTCCTGGTGGAAGATGAGGGTTTGGAAACAATCTTTCTTTGAGTGTTTTGATGACAAAATATAGTAAAAGAAGACAAGGGATTGCAACCAGAATCATAATACTATCATGATAAAGACTTGAAAACATTGCATTAATTCTACTAGCATGTGTAGTAATTGTTAGTAGCATGTGAGCTCGCTTCTGCGATGATCCTTAATCCTTAACTGGAACTTGTATTTATAATGGATAATTCAGTGATCGCAGGAGCTTGATTTAATTAATTAATGAATGATGGGGTCCCAATCCCATTTCTTTAACTCAGAGACCAATATATACATATATCGACATCCCAAAAAGGACACTGCTTCAGCCATTAATGATGCATGTGCATACGTGTAAACAAACTGCCGTCATGAAAATTGTATAAAAGATGTAATAAGAAAACACTAGTGAAGACATATTGAAAGGGACACCATTTTCCAACCTGTATGAGGTTCAAGATACCATTGTGCTATCCTCGAATTTTGGGCGCATCCTTTTTTGTCGTACTAGTTCCATATTGCCAAGGGTAAATTATGCCCACTTTTCTTTTTGTTCACACTAGTCTTTCTGTCCATTGTTGTGCCTCTGGTAGGCAGCTAAAAAAATCCAAACAACAGAGCTAGGAGGTTGCGGAAGAAGCAAGGAAAAAGCAGCAAACTCACCGCAGAAAATTCCTGCGGCGAGGTCGGTGTGGAAGAAGTCCCTACGGCAGCATCAGTAGCAAGGGTTCAGAGGTGTTTGAGAATGAGTCTCAATTATTTTTTTTGCTAAACTTTGATTTTTTTTAGTTCTAAATTAATTTTTTAACTTTTATTTATTTATTAATGCCAAAAATAAAAAAAATTATTATTCCAATGTTTTTCCTAGTAAAACATATTTTAAAAAATAGCAACTACCTTACTTTTAAATGCACTCTAAATCGACGATGAGAGGCAGGATCCTTGCGATAAAACTCCCTTTGTATTATAATTTTCCTTTCCCTTTTTGTTTGCCACAGCTTCGGGGCTTCCATCAACTTGCATTGAAGAATTGAAGACGGTTTCTTATCTGACTCTTCTTTGGGTACGGTCTATGATATGTAGTTTTGGTGACAAGAAAATTAAAGATGATAAACAAGAAATTAAAGCAAGCATGTACGTAGTTGAATGAATTCACTGCAAACCTGCTGAAGTTGTAGGCAAGTAAACTGTTATACATAACACACCATAAGAGGTTCTCGATTTATCAAATAACAATTGATTAGTGTCTCGGGAAGCAGTTGAGACAGGAAAAACATGCTCTGAAAGGATAAAAATTAACTTAAAAATCATTGTAAAAACCGGTTTATTTTATGTTATTATCTCTATTCCTCCAACTAAGCATAAACATATTTATGTTTTTCTAATATTTGTTTCTTCTATATGAAACACCCACTGACCAAATATAACTTCAGTGAAAACATAGACAATCGAGCTTCTTTGAACCTCATGATTATATAGGATCTTCTCAGTTTTGATGGTAAAAGAAAAATGTTCTAGACGTTAAGAAAAATTGTGGATAGAAAGAAAGGAAAAGAAAACATTCATTGTAGACATGTTGGGGATTTTGACCAGTAATATTTTGATAGTTGCCCATTAAAAGCTAAGTACACTGACATAATATTTAACATGGTTTGACAAATCACCTACATTCACGAGAGAGTTTCATATTATCAAAGATAAAGAAATGATACAATACAAATACATGAAGGAGAAGGATCATATCCACTCTACTCAACTCCCAGCTCTTATTGCTGCACTTACAGTTGCTGCAATGGCAGTAACCATTGTAGCCACTCTCTTCTTCTCTTCTCTCTTATTCTCCTAACACTCTCTCTCATTGTGCTATTATCTTGGTGCCTATTTATAGCCAAGAATGGTGAGACAACTTGGCCATAGATTATAACACTAATGGTGGCAACATATGAGTTGCAATATTTTGTCAATGGTTGGTATAACTTGTTTAACAATACTCACCTATTATTGTAGCCTTTTGACAATGGCTTCCTTCTTTTTTAAAGTAAGTTATAAATGCTCTATGATTGCTACACATTAATGGAAACAATCCTAATAATCACCCCCTTTGCCATTTATGTAGGCAATTATCATCTTGCTTTTTCAGCACATGCTTGCATTTTATAGCTTTTCCAAGCTTATCATTCTGAGAGCATCTTTGGCCAAATTTACAGGTACTTGCTAAACCTTTCAATCACTAGAGTCACCCAAGCACGCCTTTGCTTACCCTAAAGGATCACTTCAACCAGATGATCTACCATATCTTATTAGAAGAGTGTTAAAGCTTGTTTGTGGAATAACATTCCCCTTCAAGCATATCAACCATGCTTGACCCAAAATGATTTATTAAGCCTTACACCAAGGCTTACAACACCCCCTCAAATGAATATTTCTAAGTGCAACAATCAATGAGTATTTTGATGTGATCATGAGCTTACCACTCTTCCAAGAGTTTACTAATCTCGGAGTTGTGTTTGCTCTCTGTTCCACCCTAGGAACCATGCCTTACTTCTCTGTAAGTCTCCTGCTCTTAGTCTCAAAAGTCAAGGTAGCTCTCCACCTTTAATCACGGTGGAAACCTATTAAAGATTGATCCATATCTATCTTCATATTCTAAGTATTACAATGCCATTACTAAACTCACCACCTTGACAAGAGTCAACTTATTCCTAGAACCTGCGCATACCCTCTCCTCATTCCTAGCAGTTGCGTCTTAATGCTCCACAAGTCATCGGTTTATTATCCAAGGCAAATGTTATCTAACTCATTGATCTTTAACATGGGGGCAATATCTATAAAAGTCAATCCTGCATTTGTCTCCATACTCATCATAGCCTCTTTATTGGCTATACACTTTTCCACTTATATCCAGCCATCACATCGATTTTGAAGCACTCTAAACTGGGCTCATATCATGCCCTCACACCTTCTCCTGAGGTGTCTCCATCTGTCATCATGAGACGGTCTGATCTTGGACTCATTTCCTGGTCCTCACACCTTCTATTTGAGGTGTCTCTGCTTGTTATCATGAGATGGTCTAATCTTTGACTTATATCCTGATCCTCACACCTTTTGTCAAGGTGTCTCTGCCTATTTTGATGAGACGGTTTGAATCTATGCTCATATTATGGCCTACACACTTTCTGTCTAAGATGTCTTTGTTCGTCGTTATACAATGGTTTGTATTTAGACTCATATCATAACCCACACACTTTTCTCTAAGTTGTCTCTGCTTGTCATCATACATCGATTTGTACTTGGGCTCATATCATGGTCCACACACCTTTCTCTGAGGAGTCTTCACTTGTCGTCATGCGTCGGTTTGTACTTGGGCTTATCCTTTTTCATCAAGGATGAGTCTAGTGGCTCCAAGATTTTCTATCATATGGACTTAGGAGAGGTCATTGTCACTGATCACATAGAAAGAGAGAGTTACGGTATACTTCTCCCAATCCTCCATCTTGATTTTTATGTTTGGAGCTTTTGTGCCTTTCATTTTCACACTTAACAACTCAACCTACACCAACTCTCTTTGATGTTTTCACCTTTCATTATAGGTGGTCACATCCCCTCAATTAGGTGCTTCTGCAACGTATCATCTCTTCATCCTTGCATGCAATGGAAAGGTCCTCGCTTGTTGTTTTCATCAAGGGTACAAGAGACTTCCTATTGTACAACTTTTCATGTAGTGTCTCTGCTCTAAGCTTCATTTAGGAATTCTTCTTGTCTTTGCACCTATTATCTCATTACAGTGCCTCATTGGATCTTACAAGTACTCCTACACAATCTTTGTGTGCCCTCATGCAATTTCTGTTCTCCAGATATTTCCTATTTCTTGCTTATGTTTGGCATCAGCTCATCCTATCACAACACTTATCCAAGTTAAAATAGGGTGCTAATTTTTATCCCCTTGTTGTATTTCTCTTTCATTATCTGGGTTTTTATGAATTCTCCTCTCGAGAAATCACAATCACTGAATTCACCTTCTTTGGAGAAATCACCACCCTATCAGATGCTTAATCATATGGAACCATTACAAACCAAAAGAGCACTATATGAATAATCCTTCAACTAAGCAAGTTCTTAGGAAAGATTGGACAACTGTTACTTTGGGCCGTCATCCTGCTAGTCTTCAATAATTTTATTACAAACCATTACATATACAAAAGAGCACTATATGAATAATCCTCCAACTAAGCAAGTTCTTAGGAAAGATTGGAGGGGTCATACTGGTCCCGCTTAAAACCCAATCTTCTACCCATAACTTTTTAAGCCATACCTATCCATCGTACTGTCTTTTTTTATATACAACCATTTGCTAGCTTTGTTGCAGCTTTCCTTTACAGGTGATCTGGAATATCTTGGTTTTATAGTTGATTTCTCAACATCTGGCAAGATTACCAGTGATTAGATTCATCAAAATTGGTTTTTATCAATTTCCATTCTCCACTCAAATCATCCACATGATCGGGTGTTTAGAGTGTCCTAATTTTGCCTTCCCTCAAGGAAACTAAAAAAAATCTCTTTACTTAGCAGTTAAGCACATGTAATTACGTAAACATGTGTATTTTCTTCTTCTTCATCTCCAACGACCACCATAATCACCTTTAGATGCCTCCTGATCGGGCAATCTTATTTAATAATTAACCACCATTATTTTTGGCCAAAATCTCAATGATTGGACCATACCATTGCATTCGGAATGATCAAATTAGCAGGAAAAAAGTTTGAAATAATCCAAATAGCATTTAAAATGGCCAAGATTTTATTAAAATAATTTTGGCCTGATGAGCGACCTAGATTCAATCTCAGATTTGATTGCACGTAGGATTAGCCACACTAGATCCTATCCCTCAGCTCGTAGCTCAGCTCAAACTCAACTCGGCTCCACTCGGCTTGGTTTAACTTAGCTAGGCTCACGGTTGATGACATGGGTAAGTGTGTCTCACTATGCTAACGTGTCAGCTGACTAGGCGCTGCCATGTCGTGTCAACTGTGTATGCTGATATGATTACATCATGATGACATCATCTTTATCTGGGTTAGTTACGTGGGTCGAGTTAGCCCATCGGAGAGAAGAAGACATGTGGCATTGCGTGGAGCCCGTCTATGCTCGTGGGCAGTCTCTTTACTGACGTGTGTGGCCATGTCCTATGTTAGAATTTTTCATCATTTTCACTAGTGTTGTCGCACATGTGCTGCATCGTGGCGATCATCTACCCTTTAGGACAAATGACGTGTGGCCATGTCCCATGTTAGAATTTTTCATCATTTTCACCAGTGTTGTCGCACATGTGCTGCATCATGGCGATCATCTACCCTTTAG